AACACCCAGAACTGTGCCTGGCATAAAGTAGACATAATAAATATTTGTTAATTGAACAAAAATGGAATGCCAAGAAGGAAGTAGTTACTGCAGCAGTTCTCAAACTTTTTTGGACCCCTTTACACTCCTAAAAAATTGTTGGACTCCAAATATTTTTGTTTTTGTGGGGTATGTCGGGCAATATTTACCTATTAAATTAAAAATAATAGGTAAAATATTTACCTATTAAAACCGAGTATTTTAAAAATATATTACTTTAAAAATAAGCCCATTATATGTTAACATAAATAATATTTTAATTAAAAATGTAACTGTTTTATGAACCCAAAAATAGTGGAGTGGAACCGTGAGGCTGCTTGAATTTTGAATTTCCTATTTCAGGTATAGTGTTCTAATCCACCGCTGATTTGGATTTGGTGCTCTTCGAAGCCATGCCTCTCCAAGACATGCTTTGTCTTCACTGATGACAGATGCAGATGCTACCACCTGCCTCTGGAGCATGGTTCTAAGGATCTGCCAAGCGTTTGTGGAATACTTGGTAGCCAGACACTTGCAATGGCAACTAAATTTCATCTCAGCCAGATTAGATAGGCCCAGGAATCCAGGGCTAACCCATACCTTTTGTTTCCCACACTCTAGTAAATACAAGAGTTCTACTGTTGTTTTATTTATAAAAAGTCTTTGATAGAATGCCTTCTGTCAAATCCCTAGTCTTCTGACTCACACAGAAGAAATCTGAAATTTTTTAGTTTCCCTTCACAAGCCGGTAGTCCCACCTCTCCATTTCCATCTTTCCTACTTCAGGATACGCTTACCCAGAGGAACCTGCGTTTACACACTCTTCCTGCCTGATTTTAATGCTAGTAAATAACATGGATATGCAGGTCCATTGCCATTCCTTCTGTATAAGCCGGTTTAGGCACATAATGTCCTCTTACATGTCAAGTTTTTAAAATATTAAATATTAAAAATAACTCCAATAAAGAGCTTTTCCTGTCAAACGTTTTCAAAGTCTTAAAAGAAAAAAGACATAGATCGTATTTGTGGGTAATTTGATTCACACAATACAAACGTGGAAAGGGAAGAGCTTTCTTCTTAATCTGAACAAATGGAATTTTGACTGGTTGTAGTTTCAGGTGGTAAGCAAATAGTTTACCCATTGACAGTCCCTTTTGTGGTCTTTTTTTTTTAAC